ACCGTTAAGTTTTGACATTAGATGACGAAAATTTCAAAGGATAGGGACCAAAAAGTGGCTTTTTTTAAAGTAGAGGGACCAAATTGGGGCTATTTTAGCCCCTTTTAGCCCCTCTTTTACTCCCTCTACTTCGAAATTTGTGTCATTTAACTTACCACATATGCAAAATTTAACGAATGGACTAAAAAAATGCCAAATTTCAAATTTTAGGAACCAAAAAAGGGTTTTTTTAAGTAGAATGACTAAAAAGAAGCCTTTTACCAAAGTAAATGGACCAAAATGGGAATTGACCATATATATAAACCATTGGATATTTATTGAGGATTACTAAAAGTCTACTAGATATTTATTTAGGAATTTCAAAAAAAAAAAAATTGTTGTTACAGTAATTTATATATTAAATTATTCTTTTTAATAATTACTAATTTTAAATGTAATAAAGACCAATGGAATAGTAAAGAAATTATCTCAAAATTGTGTTGTTTGAATGTATGGCCACACGATGAAAAAATTAATTTGTTGGTTTTTCAAGTTTGTAAGTAGAGTAAATTTGATCCATTAACATTTGTTTTAATCATATTTATCCTTAAATTTTATGTTTCATTTTTAAAAAATTTTCCTAGTTCATTGATCTACTGGGTACGTACTTTAGGTGATGATTAGCAGGGTACTTAAGGTGAATATTAGGAGGATTAGAAAATGGACATGCTATATAAGCAAGGAGGAAAAATGAAGATTAGTTGAATTATGACGTAAATTTGAATTATTACCTTTCTTATTTTCAAACATTTAATTTCTATTCAAACTTATTTAATTTATATTTGAGTTTAGAAATCTTTCAAATATATTGAGTATTATATATAAATTTGCAATATATATTTAAACTTGTGAAATGTAATACATTAATTGTTGACTTAAAAATTCCGCTCCTACCTCTAATGAATTGATTTAGTTGATGAATTCTGTAAATTAGTCCTAGTAAAATTGGACCCAATCCAAAAATCCAATCCAACCCATCCGTTATGGGTCGGGTGATGGGTCTTATATATCAATCTGAAATCTGAAATAATCTGGACTGAAATTATCAAAACTCAAATGGGTTGGATCATGGGTGGATTGGGTCATCCGAAATGACTCGAACTCTTTATTTATTTATTTTTTATTAGATTATTTAAAAAATAATTTCTAATTTCTAATTTCCTAATTCTAAAAGTAGAAATAAATAAAATACCCAAATTCCAACCTCTTTTCAGTTTCTCATTCTCTCAACTTTTCCTTTTCTCCACTCTTATGCTCCCCTTCTTCATCTCAAGCTCTTTAATCCTTCTCTTTGGTGGTACTTGTGTCAAAAATCAAATTATATGACACATAGTGAGTTATGTCATATGACATTGTCAAAAAATTTTTTTTTTAAAAAAAATAGAAAGCAAGAATGCCTACTAAATATCAAAAGTCAGTGGTTGAGAAACTCTCATCATCATTAGAAGCACAATGACAAGAACATCAAAAACATCAAGGTTTGATCTTAGTTGCTAATCTGTTCTAAATTACTAATTTGTTCTTAATTAATAATTTGTTCCTAGTTAATAAAAATCAATCCCAATCCAATTTCTTCTTGTATTTATTTAGATATATTTTAAATTTACCTTTTAAACTTTAATATTAAATAGGACTATACTTTTTGTATAATGCCTTTCTAAATATCAAATAGAATTGTATTTTTTGTATAATACTTTATAAATATTGAATAAACACCAGATATTGACATATATATTGGATTTGTTTTTTGAACTCTAATCCTTCATATCTCTTCTTTTAATGAAAATTCATATATCTTCTTTTAATGAAGGTTCATGCCTTTATGAAATTTTAAATTTTAAATATTGTATAGGAATTATTTATTTGACATATGTTTTAGTTTCACCTATATAATTAGTAATCTTTCCATTTTCTTTTTTTGAGATTGGAATGAAAATTGAATTATAAAATGAAAATTAGC